ACCTGGGCCCCAAAGTGCAAAAAAAGCAATTGAAGTCAGTATCCCCAGTTCTTCTAGTGACCAGAGCTTAGCGAGCAGAGGGTTTCTGTGTTCAGTTTATGCAGAGTGAAGTACCTCACTTCAAGCAGCCCCCTTCCTAATGGGCTCTCCTCCTGTACATGCCCTCAGGAAGAATTTGTACTATAGTTCCTACATTTCAGGGTCAAAAATTACCTACTAGTCATGCTAATGTAAATATGTTTGGAAAAATAAAATTTTCTGTTTCTCTCAAAAAGAAAAAAAGATGTTTGGTATTCAGACAGATAATGAGGTTCAGCTCAACTGCCTATGCTATAAGGTAATAATATCATTAAGCTTCTCTTCTGGATGGATAACAACTTAAGTCTGCAGACCAAAAATTAGAGAAACAGAAGGGCTGCAAGGACAGCCAACCTTTTGGCCCTCGCCTTTCAAGATCAGTGAGAACTCAAGACATAGGAGAACCTGTACTGTAACATTCTATAACTCAGGTGTGTCCCAAATTTTCTGATCAAGGAGATTATAGGGCCACAGAGGAATGTGATCAATGATGTAGAGTGTGCCTAAGGGGAGTCCCATGAGAGAAAACATTCTCTCAGGCTTTCACAGAGAACAAATTGGTCAAGCAATGGCCCTGACTCATCCACATGGCTAACACTGATATATGATCTACAAACTGGTACAGGGTTTCAGGTTAAATCATGAGGGGATTTGACTGACCTTGGAAGACACAAAAGTTACATTTCTTGTTATATAAGTTTTTCTTTAATCTTGGTCTTAACCATCCAGCAGAAAAGTATAAAAAGTAAAGCTATATTAATATGCTAAGCACATATAGCCAACCCAATGAATCCCACTCCCTACCCCATGCCCACTGTGGCTCTCTTCATTTCTCTTCACTTCAACTCTACAGTCTGGGACACTTCTCCCACCTCTCATGTTTTCTCTCCACACCTCTCCTGCCTTTCCACCCTTCTGCCCACAGTGCCAGTCCTATGGAAAACCCACTACTTTTTTGGACTACTGAACTATATTGGATTATTTTGTTGAATTCATGCACCTACAATATTTAAATGGCAATGAAATAGCATCTCTGACAAAACTAAAAAAAGGGGGTATAGAAATGAAGGGCCATTTTTTATCTGTATATACAAAATAGGATAGATATACAGCTACTTTCTCTTAATTCAATGAGAAGAAAGATTTCTACTAATAGTGTTTGAACAGGATATCACGTCTGCATCCTATATTATGAATAACCACTATGAAGACTATAATAGCCACAATTATGGTTATAGGGATTAACAGCAAAGGCTCCAGATCATAAAAACATTGCCATCTAGTGCCACTGGGTTACACTGTCCCACATTTATTTACAGTCATCCCTATTTGTCCCATTCCCTTTCGAGTGAGAGGCATATTAACCAAGTTGATGCAACCCCAGGATGAAATCCTTGGACAGAATCAGCACATATAGCCAACCCAATGAATCCCATTCCCTACCCCATGCCCACTGTAGCTCCCATCATTTCTCTTCACTTCAACTCTACAGTCTGGGACACTTCTCCCACCTCTCATGTTTTCTCTCCACACCTCTCCTACCTTTCCACCCTTCTGCTCACCAGGACAGACAGAGGCTTATTTCACCTACTATGTGACTTAAACTCAGTGCTGGCATGGAAACACCTTCTGGGAAGAACTGTCATCCTTTGGTGGCTAACTGCAGGAATGCCTGCCTTGAACACTCACCCATGCTCTATTATAGTCCTGAGTCTCAACTGGAGACATTTGCTGTGGACCTTGTTGCCACTTTCATTTTGACACACCAGGCATGACAAATACTTCTCCCTGGTCTCCATGGGAAATTTTCCTTTTTTGATTCCCCTATCATTTCCCTTAACCTGCTTTTTCAAAAACATAAAACCTCTCCATCCCATCTGTGATCTGTCAAGATACCCTATTTCCAGGCATTCTTTATACTCATTACCTTCATACCCTGTGCTCCTGTGGTTCCTCTTAAATCCTTCTTCATTCCCTCCCACCTGCATTCCCTCTGTCCAATGCTGACTTCTCCCTAATGCTAGATCCAACTGACCTAGCTCCCCAAAAGAAGCCCCCAGGCCAAAGCCATCACAGCTATTTCCCACCTTTCCCAGAACCTCTTGCCAATCAGATGACACCTCCTAATTCTAATCCTCTTTTTCCTACACGTCAAGTGCAAGGCATTTCTCCATCTCAGGACTGGAAAAATGATTTCCCCCACATTCTGTGGGTACAAAAGTTAAGATATCGCCTAGTCTACATCAATATCTTTACTGGATGGACAGAGATCTTTCCTACTGGCTCAGAAAAGGCCTCTGCCATTGTCAACTCTCTCTTTTTCACAAATATTATCCCCTGATTTGGCCTGCCCCCCCATCCAATCAGAGAGTGGCCTGCCTTTTACTAATCATATTACCCACATAGTGTCTAAGTTACTTGGTGTCTAAAAAAGTCTCCATATGCACTACTGGCCTCAATTATCCAAATAAGTACAGATAACAACAATCAAGCCAACTTCACTAAGCTCACACCCCAGCTCTATAAAGACTGGATTTTGCTGCTCCTTATTGTTCTCCCTTACATCTAAGCCCCCTTGGGAGATACAGTTCATTTGAGCTTTTGTATGACCACACCATTCTCCTCAGACCAATCCTCAGCCCAGAGACAAGCCCCATCAGAAATGATCTCCCAAACACCAGTGAGATAGCTCAGCAGTCCAAAGCACCTGCTTAGGCAAGCTTAGGCAAGTGCAGGGAACTCAGTTTGATTTACAGTACCACAAATCATGCCATCCCTACATGTAGGGCAGGCTGAGGGGGCCATAAAAAAAAGAAACTATATCTCAGTTGTGCAACAGGCCCTAAAACAGCTATGACACACTGCTAACCTCATCTTTACTTCTTCTGGCCCCTAGCCTTATGAAGATAGCTGAAAAAAAAACCTGTCCTAATTAAAAATGTAAAACCCTGGATGAGGACTTTTGCTAGTTATCTACAGCACCCAGGTAGCAGTCTATCTATGAGACACACCCCAGTCAGCACATCACTCATGGGTAATGCTGGGTCCTGCTGAAAACTTGTCTGACTCTTCTTTGTGAAATTCACAAGTGTTTTTTTTTTTTCTTATTTAATTTTTTAAATAATTTTATTGAGAAACAAATATCAGTGAGACAGTTTCACAACTGATTACTGGCACATTTACAGTAATTAATACATTGCATATTGTTGTCTTAGTGGTTATTCATTGTACAAGATGCAGACATCATATCCTGTCTCAAACACTATTATAACAAACCTCTCTATTCATTGAACTGAGAGAGTGGACCTGTATATTTATCCTAAATATTTTGAGTATACAGATACAAAAGAGTCATTCATTTCTATCCCACTTTTTTGGATAGTTTTGTCAGAGGACATTCCATTGTAATTTAAATATTGTATGTGCTTGAATTAACAAGAAATGTAACTTTTGTATGTGATAAGGTCAGTCAAATCCTCTCACAATATAGCCTGAAACTCTGTACCACACCTTGTAGATCCTTTGTCAGTATCAGCCATGTGGATGAGTCATGGCCATTGCTTGACCAATTTGTTCTCTGTGAAAGCCTGAGAGAATGTTTTCTCTGCATGGGACTCTCCTTAGGCACACTCTACATCATCGATCACATTCCTCTGTGGCCTATAATTTCCTTGATCAGAAAATTTGGGACACAACTGAGTTACATGATATTATAGTATAGGTTCTCCTATGTCCTGAGTCTTCACTGACCTTGAAAGGCAAGGGTCAAAATGTTGGTTGTCCTTGTAGCCGTTCTTTTTCTCTGATTTTTGGTCTGCAAACTTACATTGTTAACTCTCCAGAAGAGAAGCTTAATTTTATCCTACAACATAGGCGGTTGGGTTTAGCTTCACTATCTGTCTGAATATCAAGCATCTTAGGCACAAGTGATCTCCTCCTCTTCCTTCAGGCTGACCGAAATTCTAGAAGACACCTGAATTCTCTGCCATGCATATGCTGCTGCTTCACATACTTCATTCAGTCCACTTGCCCTTCCTTGGTTTCACACCCTTTTGCAGGAAATTTTGTGTGATATTTCCCCAGATAGAGAGGGTTCCAATTCTTCTCCACCTCTCTGTGCTGTCTTGCCCAACTAGCCCTCCTGTTCCTTTTACCATGCCCCACAGTTGCACCTCACCACTCCTCTTGACGATTCCTGATCATCTCCACAGGACCCTGCTGTGAACTCACTCCTTGCTAAACCAGTCTTGTCCTTCCTAACCAAGGTTACTGGTTAATTTTTATACCTCATTTTCAGCCATCTATACAGTCACTGTAATCAACCTAGGTCTGAGTCCTAACCTCATATACCACCCCTCTGCCACCTGTCCCCTAAATTTCTCTCCTGATTAAGATGCCTGCACTGCTCACACTTTTCTACACAAAAAAGCCATGAGAAAGAGTGCCCATCTACCCTACTTTTTTCCCATAACAAGAGCGACAAGAATACCATGCCTGATGGGTGAGTCTGTTACCAGTAGTCATGGCAGGAAACAGAAAAACAATCATATCTATCTGAACCATCTGAGATGAGAAACAATGTGACCATATTCTCTCTCAGCCCCCAAATTCCTCAAGGCAGAACTCCCCCTCTGCCCTTTATATTCTTTGTTCTACCCTCATTTACTATTTATTCTATTCACCCTAAAGCAGCTCACACCCATGGGAAGGATAAACAGTCATGGTTGCTTATATAGACACTCTGCGGTAATCTCTCTCTTCTCTATATCCAGTACTAAGCAAGGACTTCTTCATAATTTTATCTAACCCTAAATAAATACCTTAAAAATAACCCTGGTGAATACTGAGAGCTTTCTCTGTTAGGAAAGTTTACATTAGATATACTTTTATTAGTTTTATAAAACATAGAACTTAATTCTTACCTGTTCATCTGCAGAATGAGAATTAGCAACACTTTGGTTGTACAAATAAACCTTAAAGTCACTTGTTAGGAAGTATCTAAATATAAATAAGAGTGAAAGAATTTTAAAAGCTTTTGTTTTCAAACATGCAAAACAGCAGTCATCAAGATAACATACTTGGGAAAATCTTTACCATCTCTCTGTTTTTATGAATATTCACTAGAACACAGAGTACCTATTAGTATATTTAAGCTAAATTAGCAGAAGAAAATAATTTGGGAGAGATCATATGGCCCTCAATGACTAAAAAAGAAGTATGTCAATCTTTGGTAGAATACACAGTTACTCAAAATAACTTTCCAGACTTAATGAACTTTAAAGCAATGAAAAGGAACTGCAAGAAGTGGGAAAATGCGTTTAAAATATAAAGACATGAAGTAGATGTGAGACTGTGGGCTTTTTGTTTTTTCACTGTGGGTTTCACTATCTTGCATGTACTATATACTACTTTCATAATGAGTGTTATGGTTTGTGTCTAGTTGTCCCCCCAAAGCCTCATGCAGTCATGGGGTGAGGACTTCTAGAGTTTGTGTTAACTCATGATCCACTGGGATTATGTGTGATCCAAGGCTGAGATTAAGGGTTTTAGTACTGCTGGGATTACCCATAGGTGGGTAAGTA